TTTTGCCCGGATGGGAAGGAACTGTGTTTGACTTAAGAATATTAAAAAATGCTTTAACCAAAGAAGACAAACTCATAATTCCTCGAGGTAATTTTAGTTTATAACCATATAAGATTTGAAAATTTAATCATATTTATTAAAACCCTTAATATCTTTTTGGATTTTAGGAAAATTTTATCTTGTGGATGGAGGTTACATGTTAAAAAGTGGTCTTATTGTTCCATATAGAGGTGTGCGTTATCACTTGAAAGAATTCTCCTCACATGCTCCAGAAAATCCTCAAGAATTATTTAATCATCGGCATTCTTCCCTACGTAATGTAATTGAGAGAGCATTTGGAATGCTAAAAAACGCTTTCCCATTATTAGGAGTGGTTCAGAAGCTTATTATCCATTCAATACAGTTACTAAAATTATTCTAGCCTGTTGTATCCTACATAACTATCTTATGGGAGTTGATCCTGATGAAAGGTTGATAACGAGCTCATGAATGGTGAGACGCACATTGAAGATGTGATTGGGACAACTAATGATGATGTTGATGCTAGGCAAGGAGCACTTTGTAGGGACTCTATAGCTTCTAGCATGTGGCAGGACTACATTGCTCATAGGTCGTGATCCATTTATTTTGGTCGTCCTTTAGTTTTAATTTGAAGTTATTGATGATGTTATCATATGACCAGTTATTATGTTCTTGAAATTTTTATTATGTTTTAGGAAATTTTTGTTGCAAAATTCATATTATCTATTTTCTTCTTTTATTGATAGTATTTGGAGTTTTAAATTGTACAATACTAGAAATTGTTGTGATGAGAAATTAGTTTTATTAAACATATCTTGTTGTATTATGCAGTGTCTCATGGGAAAGAAATCAAAGAAAAATTGCGATGTTGATGAGATAAAAAAGGATAACGTGATATGAAATGAATATTGGGATGAAGTTTTAATTGATGCCTTGTTAGAAGAGCAATTGAAAGGAAATAAACCCAATGGAACATGGTCAACCACTGCCTTTACTAACGTTCTGAAAACGCTTACTAAAAAGCTTAAATTTCCATTTTGTGAAGGACCATGTGAAAAATCGCATGAAAACTCTCAATAGTAATTTTTTTGCATGTCATGAAATTTTCAATGGCTTAACAATGAGTGGGTATGCATGGAATTCAAAAACACAACTATGGGAAGTGGAGAATGAAGTGTGGAAAGGGCTTACACAGGTACATTATTAACTATTTAGTAATTTTAATATGGTTGCAGACATATAAATTTTCTATGTTTGTTATTGTTTTTTCTCATATATGCATTTGTTATTGTTTTTCTCATATATGCATTTGATTTTTTGTTATAAGCTAAACTAAGTGCTGCAAAATGGAGGCATAATAAAATATGTCACTAAGACAAGTTATATAATCTCTTTGCAAAGGACCGGGCTACGGGGGAAGGAGCCATGAGTGCAAAAGAAAAAGTTCGTCAATGGGAAAGAGAGGGAAGTGCTAATTTAATTGATCTTAATGATAGTGTTGATGAATTAGCTTGAACTTTGAACCAACTTCTCCTTCTACACCTTTTCAAGTAAGCTCTCAAAATATTGACACATCCAAAAGTTTCAAATGAAAGACAAGTATGTTAGATGTGATGGGTAGACATATTGAACCCATAAATAGTGGAATTAATAATGTGGCACAGACAATCAAAGAGGGAAATGTTATTGCGGAAAAGGGAATAGTTATTGCAGAGAGAGCTAGACCACGTTGCTACCCCGAAGAGGACGTATTTGCTGAATTGGTAGAAATTGGAGTTCCAGACTTGCTTTAGCTTGATGTATTCCTATTCTTGATTAAGAACTAGGCAAACATGAGAGCATTTTTTGTTGTCTCATCAAACCGTCATTTGGAGCTTTTGAGCAAATTGATGAGTGAATCAATTGGCTCTTGAACAACTAAGTGATCTAGATAGCTTTTGAGATGTGTATCTACTTACTATATGTATGCATTTTAGATGATACATGTTGATAATCAGGTTTTTTTGTGCTAAAATTAGCATAAGCATGAACCTTATAATGTAGTTGGTATTTTGTAAAGTATTCTTCAGTTGGATTGTTCACGTTACTATTCATTACACATTTAGCTAGTTTCTTTTAGCTAATGCCTGGAATTTCGTCACTCTGTCGGCTTGTTTTCTTCTCCTTCAGCTGCTAATTCAAGTTGGAATTTTGTGATCCTTTTCCAGCTAAGAGTCTTTTTGATGTGGATGAGTTACTATTCATAGCACTTGGACTGTTTCAGCTGGGTTCCAGCTGAGGCTTTCAACAATTTTTTCCAGCTGAGGCTTTCAACAATTTTTTCCAGCTTTGAGATCTAGGCAGGAAAGTTTTTTTTATGTAGTAGTGATGGAGTTCCAACTGTCTGTAGGCTATTTTGGTCTGAAGTGCATTGTTCATGTGACTATTCATGTGCTGTTGCAGTTGGATTTCTTTCAACTGATCTATTCGTTTTTTGTATTTTGATGGATTCTTTCAATTGAACTCTTGCTTCATATGGACTCTTTTAAATTACTAGAATTTGATCATTTTATTCAGCTGATTGATGACTTGTGCTAGGAGTCTATCACCTAGATTCAAATGCCTTCTAGCAGCTTCAAGTATAGAGGTGTCTATACCTTTGGAAAATTTTAAGAACTAAGCTTTTAGATTTTTACTTAATTTTATTCCATGTAATTATCATGCATTAGAATTTTATTTCCTTCATTATTGTAATCATATTGTATTGAGAGGTAAGATACATATGTCCTCATTCGTTAGGTATAATTTAATTTTTTAATCAATAAAATCTACTTGCACCGTCGAGGTTCCCAAAAAAAAAATGTAGTTGATGACTTTTTGTAAGAAGATTTCATGTAGGTTAATTTTCTTTTGTTAATTATATTTTTACTAACACATAGAAAACACACAAAATGACTTCATATATTTAAAGGGTAGAATTGTAAAATTGGATATGTATAATTTTCTTTTCCTTTCATTTTTCATCTAATACCAAATCATAAAAAATATATCTCTTCTATTTTCTATCCCTCGTACCAAACTAAAAAAAGAGAAAATAACTTTCCTTCCGTCACAATTATTCAACCCAATTTTTCATCTTTCTTACCAAAAAATTATCAGCCTCCATCTCTACTCACCGGGCTCACACGTTAACCAGGCTGTCCGTTAGCCCGACGGGCTGTTAGCTAGTCGAGCAGTCCATCAGCCCTTGGGCCATCAGCGGAGCCACCCATAACCAAAATTTGCTTTCCATTCGATCACGCTTTACTTTGCCGGGCTGCGGCGATCATCGATCTGCGGTTGAACGGGTTTGAAGCTTCTTCACTTTTAGTTGCTCAATATAAAGAAGCGATAGTTAGGGTTTTCCTCAGAATTCGGGAGAAATGGCCTCTTTCGGGGCTCTCAAGTCCCAAATCTTCGACAGAGAAGCTCGGAAACAGTGCATCTCTCTCTCTCTTTCT